CCCCTGTTGTAAGGGCCACAGAGATCTGGCAATCAGGCTATCAACTGCTTCCTTCCCAACCCCCTTTTGTGCTTGCCTGGGACACGCCCTGAAGCCAGGCCCCACTGAATGCAGGCTGGGCTGAAGGGACCACAGTCACAGGGTTCGCCTCCCCTATGACCTTTGGTCCCATGGCCTATGCTCCCTGCTGAGGCCAGGAGAAGCTGGTACTAGGAAGATTTCTGCCTGTCCCAGTCAGTTACAGCTTCTGGCTGCCACCGCTGTTCAATAAAATTCAGCATTGCATCAAGGGTGTTTATCCAGTCCTGGGCTTTGGAGGGATCTGGCCAGATGTCAGTAATGAGGGCTAAAGCAAGCAGATCAGAAAGCACTGGTTGCACACTCTTGAATGCCTAGCCCCATATTGAACTTTTCAATGGGAAAACTAGAGAAGCCCAGGCTCCAGTATGGGTGGCAATCTGCCGACTGGGAAACTTGTGTGTGACTGTTGGAGAAGGAGAATCATACAGAGCCAAAGCAGAGTTAAAAGGGGTGGCTGGGCAAAGGAGAATTCAGTAGCCCCATGGGACTCTGAGACTCACGCTGTGCCTTGAGGGGTCAGGGAGATTTGAGAGAAGAAAAGAAATGGAAGCAGAGGGAAGAGCAAGAGTAAAAGTTCAGAAGCAAGAATGATTCTGACATGCTTACAGGAAATATTAAAGGCCCCTCTGGAGCAGAGAGTAGAGAGTTTACATTTGCAGAGTGCCTACACTTTGCACATATACTGTGTATTAACACTGTTACTCCTGATAATAACCCTATGAGGTAAGTAGTATTACATTTACATTTGAAAGATAAGGAAATTGAGGCTTAGAGAGGTAAATCACAAGCCCAGCATCATACAGCTGGTAAGTGGCAGAGGTAGGGTTTAAACCCAGGTCTACCTGACTGGGTACTCTGAATGCCAAGACAAGGTACCAGGCAAATTACAAGTTTTTGTAATTTGGCTAATAATATACAGCTCTGCATACATTACTTTCTTCACTAAACAAAGGTTCTCCTAAAAGGGCCATCTAGTAAATAAGTCGTGCCCCCATCCCCAAGCAGGCTACTCTGTTTGGCTTCCTGAAACACTAATGTCACTTCTCATGTAGCACAGGTTAGACCCTGCCTTTTAGAATATGTCCTTTTAAATGGATGGTAGGAACTTATAGGACCTGTTTGGGCCATAGGATTTCAGAAAAAAAGTTATTTTGGGAGAGAGGAGAAGCCTAAACTGGACCTTGAATAGGGAGAATCAGGGCTGATGCCACTGCTCAGACACCTTCACACTCATATTCAGTGCTTCCTCCCTCTTGAGATGAAAGCAAACTACTGTCACTTCTTGTGTGCACAGCACTTCACACTTTACAAAGCACACTCATTTTCTTGATTTCATGGTACTTTCACTGCTGCTCTGTGAGCTGGGCAAGTATTATCATTTCTGTCTTACAGATGAAGAAACTAAGGTTCCAAGAGGGAAGTGACTTGCTTGTGGAGGCTATGTGATGCATTGAGCAAAACATAGGATTTTGGATCAAAAAGCTGGGGTTTATGTGCTGGCTCCCTTATTAAGTAGCTTTGTGACTTAGGGTTACTTAACTGTTCTAAGTTTGTTTCTACAACTGTAAAATTAGAATAGTACCAATAGGTTGTTAGAAGGATCTCGTGACATACTACCACATGAACTGTAAAGGGTTGTACCATGTGAGGGGTTTTTATCAAGTGGCAGCTTCAGCAGGTGAACCCAGGAAGTCAGATTCAGGTATCCAGTGCTCTTGTCCCTGTACCACGTAGCCTTTGCCTTACTTGTTTCTGGACTCTACCTAACTCATGATCCTTTTCTGGTGTCAGTCCCTGCTCCCTGCTAGCCTGGAAGCTATCCCTTCCCTCCCCCAGTCCTTTGAGAGCTGATTTTGATTGCTGGTTGATAACCACCTCCCTGGAGAGCTGCCTGTACTTCCAGTTTCTTGGGCCATGTGACTGCTGTCCAGAGTTCCCTCCTTGCCTTCCTGCCTGGCCAGCCCACTGCTGGGCTTAAGGAGGAAAGTTCCCAATCATACTGCCATGTATGAAATTGAAGATTTACAGACCAAGTAGTTGCACTCTGAAATGCCAGGACCTCCAGAAATCCAGTGGACACAAGTACTGGCACCAGCCCTGTCCCCTGCTTCCAGGGCTGCCCTTTTATTGTCATTGTTAGATGCTGTCAAGTCAGTCCTGACTCATAGTGACCGATGTGTGCAGAGTAGAACTACTCCATAGGTTTCTTAAGGCTGTGACCTTTTGGGAGCAGATCTCTGGGCCTGTCTTCTGAGGCATCTGAGTGGGTTCGAAATGCCAACCTTTTAGCTGGCAGTCAAGTGCTTAACCATTTGTGCCAACCAGGGACTCCCTCTACTACCCTCAAAAAACCAAACTCACTGCGATCAAGTCGATTTCGACTCATAGCGACCCCTCCTTAGGCTTCCGAGGTGGTATTCTAAGGAAGTAGATTGTCTAGTTTTCCTTTCAAGGAGTGGCTGGTAGGTTTGACCCACCAGCCTTCTGGTTAACAGTCAAATGCCTTAGGTACGACGGCACCAGAGCTCCTTCTGCTGCCCTAAAGGGCCCTTATCTAGAGGTTGAACACACACACTTATTCATGCAAATAAAGATAGAAATATTTTTATGGGAACCAGAGAGGCAACCTCATACACAAACCATTTCCCTTCCAGCTGGCCCCAGGGGAAGCTGTGGCCTGGGAGGGAGCTGGGACCAAGCCCTGGAACCTATGCAGCCCCCTTACTACCAAAGTTCCTTTACCACTTCCCAAGAGGGGAATTCCCTCCCCTCCATCTTTGGTTTCTCAAGGCTTTTGAACCAATGGTTAAGAGGTCAGACTGTGGGACTAAAGAATTCCTAGAACAGGGTGCAGCTTTCCATTGTGGAAAATGAAATGGAGAAGATGGGACAGTGGTGAAGGTTGGGTAGAGCCAGGAATACTTGGGGATTTGGGAGTGTCTAAAACAGGGCTGCTCCCTCCCAAGGAGAAGGGACCTGGTTGTGGGAGAGAGGCAAGGAAAGGAAGTCACATACAGGGCCACAAGCGTCCCCCGTGGCCTAGAGGAAGTAGCCGATGAGAGGAGAATCATTGCCACAGTGGTATAAATAATCACAGGGTTTCCAGAAGCTCTGTTCTGTCCCAGAACTCAGAAAAGCAGTTCCTCACCCCAAGGCGCTGTGAGCTGCAGAGATCAGGGTGGTGGCTGGAGCCAGGACTTCCTCCCTCATACTCACTCCACTAATAATTACAGTAGCCTGTTTATTGGGTACTTCCTATGTGCCAAAGGAGCTCTGGTGGTATAATAGTTAAAGCATTCAACTACCAAGCAGGAGGTTGGTGGTTTGAATCCACCCACCACTCCATGGGAGGAAGATGAAACAGTCTGCTTCTGCAAAGATTCACAGCCGTGGAAACCCTATAGGTCAGTTCTGCTGTGTCCTAAAGGGTCGCTGAGTCGAAATCGATGGCAGTGGGTTTGGTTTGGTTTTGGTTTCCTATGTGCCATGCTTCATGCTAAACACTGTACACATTAGGTCATTTGATACTCTAAGCAACTCTAATACAGTAGCAAGACTATCCCGTTTTATAGATGAGAAAATTGTGGATCAAGGAACTTAAATATGTTACTTAAGATCATACAGGACTAGTTCATGGGACTGTGATTAGAATGCCTGGCCAGTCTGACTCCATCATCTATGTTCTTTGTGTTAATGTCCCTAAAATTCTTCAGAAACAAGTTGTGCTGTGGTCTCAGGAAAAAGGATGTATGATTAAAGGGAAAATTAAGTTTCTGGCTGGGCTTGGAGGATCTGTCCCATCCCACCAAGGGTCTTGAGAGAAGATGCAGATATCTGGGAGCCTCTGCCTTATTCTTCATTTGCCCAGATTCCAGTCTAGATCCCAGTCTGGCTCATTCTCCAGTATTCCTCTTCATTGAGTTGCCATCCTGGGAATGTGTAGCCAGGTAGGATTTTCTATGCTTACAAGAATGATAGAGTGAGCTCTCCCCACCTTTTCCCTATCCCTGCCACACCCTGGATTAGAACAGGGCAGCTGTCTAGAGAACTGTGTTCTTTATTCAGTGTACTTCTTATTGGGTCTTTTGGTTTGCACTCAGTAGCCAAGATGTCAGGTTTGGAAAAATTGAAAATATTGGTGTATTGGGTAGATGGCCCTGAGTTGGGAAAGGTACCACCCATGGCTACATCTCAGAGTGACCTGGGTCAGCTGCCCTGTGCCAGAACCCTTCTCCAGCCTTTAAAGCTTTTACTAGTACCCAGAGAAAAATAAAGATAGGTCATACTTGTTGTTGTTGCTGTCGAGTCGGACCCCACTCATAGCGACCCCTCCTTGAGTTTCCAAGGTGGTATCACTATGGAAGTAGATTGCCCAACCTTCCTTCCGAGGAGCGGCTGGTTGGTTTGAACCGCCAGCCTTCTGGTTTGCAGTCAAATGCCTTAGGCACTATGCTACCAGAGCTCCCAGGTCATACTTAGTGAGTGGTTATTACAGCCAAGCACTGTGCTAAATGCTTTATATGTATTAACTTACTTAATCCTCACAACAACCCACTGAAGGTAGGTATTGTTTTATCCCCATTTTACAACTAAGAAGACTGAGACTAGAGAGAAGGTAAGTAATTTGTCCAGGGTTACACAGCTAGGAAATAATAGAACCAGGATTTGACCATAGTTTAGCACCCGTACGTGATTCACACTGTATCATACTGCCAGCCATCAGGGTTCTCACATCTGAGTACCTTTGTTCAATCTCAGAGCCTCTCTTGTGTATCTCTCTCTGATCTGTATTGACAGGCTTGCAGGATGGTGTCAGGTTAAAGGAACAGGAGTTGATTTTCCTCTATGTGCCTTCATCCTTTGTGACCAATGGGTGGAGGCCTCCTTAACCAAGAGTGTCCCCTTTCATCTGTCCGCAGGTAACTGCATCCAGAGGGGCCCGGGAAAGGAAGGAGGCACTGCCTCCACTGCAGCAACTGCACCCAGGATGCAGAGCATCAAATGTGTGGTGGTGGGTGATGGAGCCGTGGGCAAGACGTGCCTGCTCATATGCTACACAACTAACGCCTTCCCCAAGGAGTACATCCCCACTGTGTTCGACAATTACAGCGCTCAGAGCGCAGTTGATGGGCGCACAGTGAACCTGAACCTGTGGGACACAGCGGGCCAGGAGGAGTACGACCGCCTCCGTACACTCTCCTACCCTCAGACCAACGTCTTTGTCATCTGTTTCTCCATTGCCAGTCCGCCCTCCTATGAGAATGTGCGGCACAAGTGGCATCCGGAGGTGTGCCACCACTGCCCTGATGTGCCCATCCTCTTGGTGGGCACCAAGAAGGACCTGAGGGCCCAACCTGACACCTTACGACGCCTCAAGGAGCAGGGCCAGGCGCCCATCACCCCGCAGCAGGGCCAGGCACTGGCCAAGCAGATCCATGCAGTGCGCTACCTCGAGTGCTCCGCCCTGCAGCAGGATGGCGTCAAGGAGGTGTTTGCTGAGGCTGTCCGGGCTGTGCTCAACCCCACGCCAATCAAGCGTGGGCGGTCCTGCATCCTCTTGTGACCCTGGCGCTCAGCTTGGAGGCTGTCCCTGCCCCCCCCCACCAGTTGTGCCTTGGCGCCTTGTCTGCCCCCAGCTGTGCCTTAAGGACTAATTCTGGCACCCCTTGCCAGGGGGCTCCCTGAATCCTGTTTTCTCTGAATGCCTTTTCCCATTAAGGAGGCCTGCAGGGAAAGGGGCTCTGGGCCCTGCCCCACTGCACTTGGGAACACCAGGTGTTCTCATGAGCTCACCCAGGCCAAGGCTGGATCCTGCCCCGGAGGCCAGCCTGGTGCCCTCTCCCCCTTTTCCCCCTACTGACCAATTCACCCAGCTTTTCCACACAGGTGTTGTTGCCTATTGTGGTGCCTCAGGTTAGGGGCTCTCAGCCATCCCTAACATCTGCCTTCACTGCTCTTGGAATTGTTCCCTCCCCCCCAAGATGCTCTCTCCTTTCCCACAGGAAGGAACCACAAAATCCTGAGAAGATGAACGTGCCCTAACCGGCCCCTATGTGCCTTGGCCTTATGCATCCGCTGACTGACTCAGCCCCTGTGCTCCTGGGGGCCTTTCCTACCCCCATCAGCATCAATAAAACCTCCTGTCTCCAGTGGCCCTGACTCCTCCCTGTGTGCTAGGCAGTGGGGGTTGGGCAGGGCTGGGCACAGGCTAGGGCTCCCCAGAGACTGGGAGCCTTTTGTTTCCTATAAGAAGGGACAGAAGACAATAGGCTTCATTGTGGTCCCCCCACCCCCCAATTTCCCTAACAAAGCTCTGGGTTCCCTTGGAGGTACCAGTCTTGCTCTGGGGCCCAACCACAGATGCTATAGTGGACTGAGATGCAAATCATGAGGAAGGACTTCCTGATCTAGGGCTGAGAGTGAGGTTGAGAGCATTGGTCTGAAGGCAGGGTGACAACAGTCCTGGGCCTCTCAGTCATGCATCTGAGGTCTGTGACATTAGAAGACAGATTCCCCAGTCACTCTTACTCATCAGAGTGGGCTTAGACCAGCCTCAGAAGACTCCAGGTGTAAAGAAGGGCGCCACTAGGGATCTTATCCTGCCATGGATTTATTCCCTCCATCCTGGAGACTGCCCCTCACCTCAGTTCCTATCAAACAAAGAGACCAGCTCTGAGGACTAGCAAGCCTAATCCATACTGTTTGCAAAAAAAATATTTATTTTCCTTTGAAATAAAATGAACAACCAGAAAAGCTCAGGGCCTGGGGCAGTAAAGTGGATGGGAAGACACCAGGTAACCCATTTTGGGGTAGGGGTCTGTGCTTCTGATACCTCTACTCTGTACTTTTGCAAAGGAAAGGGTCTGTAAGCCAGAGATTTCAGAAAGGAGGGGAAATACATGTGTTGGGTTCCTTTTCTGGAGCAGGTTGTCACTCAGATGCAGGACACCATTTCCATCAAGTGACATCAAAACCAGAGACTGGCAGAGCCCTTGGAAATCACATAGCCCACCCATTCCCCATTAGACACATGGACACAACTGAGGCTAAGATAGGGAAGAGTATACCCAAGAATACACACCAAAGAGGTATGTCAGGACTAGAACATCTGGGCAACCTTAGCAGGGGATTGTAGCTTTAGGCTGGGTGTGCACAGTAGATCTTAAGCCATGTTAAGTGGAAGTACCCATGGGGAGAGAGAAATCTGAATTTCAGGTAGTGGCCCCTGCTCAGTGGTCCATAACCTCAGTGAGGTGGCTATGTATGGATCAAAATTGGGATGTGGTTATGAACCTCAGTACTTAGCACCAGAAGGTGGAGGGTGGAGCTTTCCTGCCAGCCCAGCTTCTTGAGGCATCTCAGGCAGGGGTGATGCTGCTAGATATAACCAGGTGGGAGGTGGGGGAAAGGAGAAACCAGCAGGACTGGTAAAGCCTTGTCCTATGCCCTTCCTCTGTTTTCCCCCACCCTCCACCCCAGCTTCAGTAGGGCCCAAAGAGGACACAAGTGAGGAAGGCCAGACTGTCATCTTTTTTCTGGGCAGTGGGCCTCCTCCTCCCTAGCAGGAGAGAAGTGTTCAGAATCTCTTTTCTTCAGGCTGGGAGGTAATGAGCAGCTCCTTGTTCCCGAAGTCCCACCAGGCAGTCATGTGGAACGCCATGTTGGTTAAGACAACAGTGTATTCCAGGATGGCAAAGATGGTGTATACTGTTGTGAGGACACAGGGAATGGCAAGGTGACTCTCATGCCACCTCCACCCAGGCTTCTTAAATCACTACGCCACTAGACCATCACAGGGAACACAATAGCAGCCAGCCCCAAAGACTAATACCATACTGCATGTTATAGAAAAGATCACAATTGCCCCTCTCCCCAGCCATAACCCCAGTCTGGTCTCACCTCCAGCCTCACAATACATGTTGTGCCGAAAGTAGACAGCTAGCGCCGAGAAGAAGGCGATGAAATTGATGATGAAGAGCCTCTGTTTCCAACTGTAGGACTTTCGCTCCTAGGGGATGGGCTGTCTGATCACCCAGCAGCTTGCTGGGTGTGTGAGCAGCCTCTGCTCTTGGCCCAGGCTCCAAAGAGCTGGCCCTTGCCTCCCTTGGTTCCCCACTAGTAGTCATGGGAAGGGACACAAGTAGGGGCAAGCAGGTATAATAGAGGTGTTTACAGCCCTACATTGGCGGGGTGGAGGGGTGGTGATGAGGCCCAGAAGTGATCGGTCTTTGCCTCTCCTGATTCTAGGGGATGGAATTTAAAAGTTACATGGAGTCACCCTCCAGCCCAACACTGCCAGAGACCGTGGGGAGGTGTGTATGTAGGTGGGACACGGCCACTCTTACAGAGACCACATTCCCTGATGGTGTTCCTAACCCCTGCAGCCTGGGTGCAGCTAAATTGTTCTCCAGTCCCCCATACTACCCAAACCTAGTCCTAGATTCAAACCAACCACCTTCCCTTGTTCCCAAACCCCAGCCCAACCCCAGCACCCGTCAGGGTTCCCTTTAGAACTTCAATTCCCACCTCACCGTTACCACATCCTAAGGACAGGTGTCCTTGCTTTTCTCCTGGGCCATCTGGAGCCCCACTAGGGGTGGTCCCGTACCTCCTGACTTACTGTGTGCTTCTTGGTCAGCCGCCAGAGAATGCAGGTGAGGAGCATGTAACTGAGGGATGAGGCGATGAACACAATGAAAGCATTCTCGTGGATGGCTGATGGGAGAGAGCAGTGTTGCGGGCACTCATTGCAGGCAGTGCCCAAACCCCAATATAAGGTGAAGTGAGAGGCAGGCCCCTCCTTGAAGGGCGGGGCATGTTCCCTCCCTGAACCCTTTCCCTGATCCTCCCTGGTCCAGACACCCACTGAAGTCCTCGGAGGAGGAGACATAGGTGAGCACTAGCAGCGCAAGGTTCTCGAGGACGTTGAGGCCGAAGTTGAGACGGCAAAGCGGGCGGTAGCCGGGACAAGGGCAGGCACAGCTGAGGTAGTGGTTCCAATAGGCGAAGGCCACCATGAAGCGGGGCGCCGAGTGCAGGCCGATGCAGAAGCGCCATACGTAGCGCTGAGGAACCTCCCCGCCGATGGCCGAACTCACCGATGGCAGGTAATTGGGCACCTGGAGAGTTGTGACCCGTCTGGACACCGGCCTCCGCCGGTCCTGCCCACCTGGAGAGGCTTCTCTCCATCTATCAAGTTCCCTCTCACCCCCTAAGGGCCTGCTCCAGCCCCCCCCCCCCAAGATGGCTTCCTCCAAGTGCTCAGAGCTCTCAGCAAACTTCCCCTTCCTGGAACAATATCCTGTTCTCATTCTGCAGCTAGCCTGAGATTTGTGTAGCGCTATGGCCGGACCTTCTCCACTCCTCCCCATATTGGAACCTGAATATGGCTGGGCACCCTTGCAGATGGATTCAGATGCTGTCTGAACCCATAGCACAGGGCTTTGCCTCCAATCAGGGGCTGTGGGAGGTTATAAGACCTCTGATTCAGTCCTGGGAGGGGCAGGGATGAGCCACAGACCATCTGAGCTTCCTTGTGACAGAGGGGATTCACTGCCCTGCTGAGCTGTTCCCCTGGTTGATCCCAGATCCACTCATTCCTCTGGATAGGTGTGCCAAGCTGGCAGGAGATACTGTTGGCAGGAGATACTGTGAGATTCTCCCTGAGAGGGGCTAAAAGGGCACTCTCCACTTTAATCATGTTTAAGAAAGCCACCCACTTTCCTGTTGTTGTCTTAAGAAAATGACCCTATTCCTGTACACATGTCCCACCCATCTTTCTCAAGGTCTGGAATTCTTCATTCCTTAAGGAATTCCCTTAAGGGTGAGTGAGGAAGGAGGAGCAGTTAATACTCACGTAGCTAAATGCATTGGTGCATTGCTTGTATGAGGGGAGAGTAGTTTATATGGGAATAAGAAAGTCAGGGATGGGAGGAGGATCCTTAGACTCCAGGGGCTATAGCTCTTCTCAAGCTTTAATGCGCAGAGTACTCACCTGTGTTTTGCGTTAAAATGTGGGTCTGGAGTGAAGCTTGAAAATCTGTATTTCTGAACAATTCCAGGGCTATGGAAGGTACCAGTCCACAGCCCACAATTTCTATGGACATTAGATCCTTCACAAGGGCCAGGCAGTGCCAGAACCCAAGCAAGGAAACAATCATGCTCTGACCACGGAGACCTAGTCTTCAGAGACAGAATTCTGCAAGATTCCTTCCTTTATCCTAATAGGGGTGCTGAATACCTGGAGCCTCTGGGGAGAAGGCCAATGCTGATGCAGCTCATGGGGCAGGGGAAACCTGGGCAAGGATGAGCCAGGGGTTCTAGCCCCTACAGAAAATGTAGATTCCCCAAGGCAGTGTGAGAAGCTAAGGGCAGAGTTCATGGAGAGAGGATGCTGCCCTCAAGGCCATGGCTTGAGATACTACAGTTTGAAACAAGACTCAGAACTTCACTTGAATTATCAGTAAAGAAGCAGCATGGAGGCTCTGCAGCTGTGCAACCCTGAATCTGCATTCCAGCTCTGCCTTTATTTGCTGGGTGATCTTGAACAAGTCACTTTACCACTCTGAGCTTCTATTTCCTCACTGGTGAAATAGGGATAATACCACCTACCTTGCAGAGTGATTATAAATACTAATAGGACATATGTAAAGCAGCTGACATTGTCAGGCATATAGGAGGTACAAGTGGTGGCTTCAGAAGACAAACATGCCTGGAGAGCAACACAGCCATTAAACATGGGAAGAAGGCCTGCATCTGGGACAGGACCATATATATTCATCTGATACTTTTGAATCACCTAAGCCTCCTCACTTGATTTTTCTGCCTCTGTGGTTCCCTGACTAGGGTTAATAGGAGTGTCCCCTCTACCTCTTGAAATGTTCATTCTGAAAACTCCTGCTTCAACTTCAGCTACTTTAAAGAGAACAGAGACAGCAGAGGGTGCAGATCATCCAAGGGCCCAGAGCTCTGAGAGATGCTGGGGAACAGGTAGTGGGTATAGATGGCACATAGTTGGGGGGGAAGCCTCAGGAGGAAGAAAGAGTTAAGGCCCTGTGGCCATCATTCCTGTCTTCACAAGCTCTTCTCGTAAAGGACAGGAGTGGGAGTCTAAGAAAGGGGACTGATCTATCACACACACACACACACACACAAAATCAGATACAGATAATCATATGTCCCCCACTCCCATCTCCAGCAAACAAATTCCCCACTCATCAATTGTGTCAGCAACAAGGAACATCAGGCGCTATTACAGTCCACGTACACAACTCACCCAAGCCTCCCTATGAACCCAGAGCTAAGGGCCCTGACAGATGGGGACACAGTTCCTTTCCCCAAGTACAGAAGCCCTTTGGCTTAGGGGAGTTGGCTCAGTAGTCCTGCGTGCAGGGCAGTAAATCAGAAACTTACATGGCATAAGGGGGGGAGAAAAATCCTCTCCCATCACGTTGTGTGTCTTCAAGTCAAAAGCAATGTGTAACGACCCTATAGGCCAGAGTAGAACTGTCACATAGGGTTTCCTAGGCTGAAATTTTTATGGGAGCAGATCACCAGGTGTTTTCTCCCACAACATGGCTGGTGGATTCAAATGTTGGCTAGCAGCCAAGTCCTTAACCACTGCACCACCAGGGTCCTTGCTCCCATTATAACACCTCAGATTTCACTTCATTGGCCTCAAAAACAGTATCCCCAAATTATGAATGACTTCTTTATTTACCTTACTGCTGCTATCCTTTGCCAACTGGACAAAAACCTCTAATTCCTGTTAGTTCTACTGCTACTCCTTTCTGGGTTCCATCACCTTCTCTCTATGTTAACAGTCCCCCTCTTAGCTCTGCTCTCCCCAGTAGCCTGAGCTATTGCACTAATCTCCTCATTGGTCTCCTTGCCCCTACTCTTATCCCTACCTTAAATCTGTTATCTACTCAGGAGCCAGAATGATCTCCTGAAGCACAAATCTAGTCAGGTCCCTTTCCTATTTAAAATATTCATGGCTCCCCATTGTTCTCTGCATAAAATCCAAAGTCTTCAGCCTGGCATTCATTAAGAACTTGCTTCACCCCCACAGCAACAATGCCCCCTCCTCCAGAAAGGAAGTGTTCCCCAACATTCAAGCTGGGTCAGTGCCTCCTCCAGGGCCCATGGTACCTGTACTCCCTTTTATCACAATAGGAATGCCATCCCACTTTTTGTGTCTATGACTGTCTCTCATAGGAATAAGATATTGTAGTCAAGTCCATGGTTAATTCCATGGCTCTGACACAGAACCTCTACTGCTGGTCTCTCAGGAAAGACCTGGTGGACTGATCTGGGAGGAAAGAGATCCTTCTAGGTCTCTGGCCGGCAAAGCCCTGAGTGGACACAGGCTGTGGGACCTGGGGTTTCCAGGGGGAGGACCAAAGCTTAAGGATCCCAGAGCAGGACTGGGCTAAAGCCAACTGTTACTTCTCCTGGCCCATGGTCTCACTTTACCTTCTCAACCCAAGCTTCTTTCCCAGTCTGGTCTTCCTTTTCCTTCTTATGATCTCCCTTGCCCATTCTCAGTTTTTTCCCCATCCACCTCCAACTCTCGGCTCCCTTCCACTCTTAAGAGAACTCTGTGAATCTCTCCTCCAAAGCTCTCCCTAATCCTGACCCACTCCCCCATTCTTTTATCCTTTCTTCTTCTCTCTGACCCTTTATCTCCCCTCCTCCTTTTTCTAATTTCACCTTATCATCATCTCCTAACCTGGCCCTGACCCAGGTGCTGGGGCACCTGGCACTCACCCCACAGTCAGTGGCCACCGTGTACTCAAAGTGGAACACCAGGGACCAGATGATGCAGAAGAAGAAGCCGAACACTGGGAAAGTGACGACCCACCAGACCAAGGCTGTGAAGCGGAGCCGGAACACAGTCCCGTCGGGGTCCAGGGACTGAGAGGCCGCAGAGAACATCCTGTGGAAAATGTTGCCCAGGCAGGGCAAGGAACACAACTTGGGGCTTTGTGGGATACCTGAGACTGGGACAGTGGAGCCTTTTCCAGAGCTAGCTCCTTAGGGAAGAGTCAAAGCAGAAAGGGTTGAAAGATTTTAAGAAAAAAAAGGAAGACAGTATAGAACAGAAGGAGGTCCGGAGATAGGCAGACTAAGCTCTCAGGAGTCCTCTTGGTGCACTGATCCTGTAGGTCTATCTCTTGAAGAGTCTAGAGAATAGAGGTTCCCAGTAGCCTGGACACCGGAGCCCTAATGACCCGTCTCACTCTCACGACCCTCACACCCAGTCACAACCTCAAAATTTGGAGGGTTATTATTCCCATTCCACAGAAGGGGAAACTGTAGCCCAGAATTATGTGAGGGTCTCTTGCCTCTTGCCACGTGACAGCTTAACACTCCAAGTCAAGACTTCCTTCAGGCCACGTAACCTAGACAAAGGACCCTTGGCATAGACTGGCCCAAGCCCTCCCACTGACCCTGTCTGACCACATTCCTACTCCTCACCCAAGTTCAACTAGGAACACTGGGAGTGCCCACTTCCAATGAGGCCCGCAAGCTGCCAGCCATCCCGCCCCCAGGCTTAGAATGATCCAGGCCTCAGGCTAGCAGTGCAGTGATCCCAAGATACCAAGATGCCTGCAGAGGCCCAGACCCCTCATCTCTTTCCCCGCTAAGAGAACCATGTCACTCAACCCAAGATTGTGGAATCTGAGGGTTATGGGAAACATCCCCACTCAGCTTGAGGCTGCTGGCTGTGCCAGGCAGCTTCTGTCCAGCTTAGACTCAGGAAGCTGAGCTTCTTCCAAACCCTTCCCCCTCCACCCAGGACTACCACAAAACATAAACCGACCCCTTGTGCCCTTTCTGAGGGGCAGAGAGAGAGAGAGAGTTTGAATTAAAAGGCCTAAGACCAAATCTTCCCTTGGGACTCATACCTCTCTCCACTAAGAGTACCCCAGTCCACTAGTCCAGCTCAGGATCAGAAATGGGGTGGTGGCGCACAAGGCGACACTTACACTGGGTGCTGAAGGATCCAAGGCTTGGCTTGCAGGCTCTAGCCAGACTGAGGCTGTACTAAGACTGGAGGGTCCCACCCCCAGCTCTCTAGGACCTGCCCTCCCTCCCACAAAGCATAGCTCTCCACGCCTGCCCAGTCACACAGCCTTCCTAGGATCACCAAGGCCATGTTATAAATCCTGGAACGCTCTGCAAAGGTAAGAAGTGATAGTGGCAGCTATTTCTTGCCAGGAATAGGGGTGGGGGACTTTCTAAGTGTTGTATCCAGGGATACAGGTGGCAGGTTTCTGGGAAGGGAAAGGAAGAAAGCAGAATGTGATCTCGTCCATTTATCTTAGAGCAGGATAGAGTATGTTTGTTGGGCCCCACTGGAGAACTGGCTAAGCCTGTGACAATAGAATCGGGATCCAAAAAAGATCTAGATGGGCCTGAGTATGAGGTAACTGTGTCCAGCCTGGGTGGAAACAGCTAATGGCAGCCCAGCAGAGGTCTAATTGGTACAAAAGAAAGAGAACTGCGGCAAAGAAATAAAAGACCAAAATGGAGAATTTCAGAATTTCAGAGAAGAGACTCTGAAATTTGCTCTTGAACACAGAGTAGTTAACCAAGTGGGAGAAATGATGACATAAAAGTTTAATGGATTTCAAAGGGTGGCTTGAGAAGATAAAGTGTTACAACGACTTGTGCAAAGAACTGGACTTAGAAAACCAGAAGAGAAGAACATGCTTGGCATTTTTCAAGCTGAAAGAATTGAAGAAAAAACTCAAGCCTCGAGTTGGCAATATTGAAGGATTCTATGGGCAAAATACTGAATGATGCAGGAAGCATCAAAAGAAGATGGAAGGAATACACATAATCACTGTACCAAAAAGAACTGGTCAGTGTTCAACCATTTCAGGAGGCAGCATATGATCAAGAACTAATGGTATTGAAGAAAGAAATACAAGCTGCACTGAAGGCATTGGTAAAAAATAAGGACCCAGGAACTGATGGAATACCAATAAAGTTTGGTTGCAACAAACATATGCAACACTGGGAGTGCTCACTTATCTACGCCAAGAAATTTGGAAGACAGCTACCTGTGCAACTAACTGGAAAAGATCCATAATTGTGCCCATTCCAAAGAAAGGTAATCCAACAGAATGTGGAAATTATTGAACAGTATCATTAATATCACACAAAAGTAAAATTTTGCTGAAGATAAGTCAGAAACGGTTGTAGCAGTACATTGGCAAGGAACTGCCAGCAATTCAATCCAGATTCAGAAGAGGACATGGGACAAGGGCTATCATTGCTGGTATCAGATAGATCTTGGCTGAAAGCAGAGAATACTAGAAAGATGTTTACCTGTGTTTTATTAACTATGCAAAGGCACTCAACTGTGTGGATCAAACAAATTATGTACAACATTGCAAAGAATGGGAATTCCAAAACACTTAACTGTGCTCATGAGGAACCCATACATAGACCAAGAGCAGTAATTAGAACAGAACAAGGGAATACTGCATAGTTTAAAATCAGGAAAGGTGTATCCTTTTACCATACTAATTCAGTCTGTATGCTGAGCAAATAATAAGGGAAGCTGGACTATATGAAGAAGAATGTGGCATCAGGATTGGAGGAAGACTCATAACAACCTGCAATATGCAGATGACATAACCTTGCTTGTTGAAAGTAAAGATGTCTATAGCTGTCAATATGGATTATAACTCAACATAAAGAAAACAAACTGGATCAACAAGCAACATCACAATAAACAGAGAAAATATTAAGTACATTAAGGATTCACTTAACTTGGATCCAAAATCATGGAAGCAACAGTCAAGAAATCAAATGTCATCAGAGGTCTTTCTCACCTCCCCCCACCCTATTCCAAATACTTAGGCAGTTAATTTTTTTTTTTTTTAAAAATAAGACCTCAGTGGTGAATTGAAAAGGATACAATTTTCAGATCCCTTCCTGTCATGCCCTTCCCTAAAAAAGCAAATAAAGGATCCTATCCGTGCTGGTAAAAAAAAAAAAAAAAAAAAAAAAAATGAACAATATTCTACATTCTACTTTGGTGAGTAGAAATGGGGTTCTTAAAAGCTTACAAGCAACCATCTAGATACAACTATTGGTTTCTCCCCATCCACAGGAAAGAATGAAGACAATTAAAGACTCAAGGAAACAATTAGTCCAAAGAACTGATGGACCTCACAAACCATAGTCCCTACTACCCTGAGACCAGAAGAACCAGATGGTACCCAGCTACCACTACTGACCACTCTGATTGGGATCACAATAGAAGGTCCTGGACAGAGTGGGAGAAAAACATAGAACAAAATTCAAAGTTGTAATAAAGACCAGACTTAGTGGTCTGAACCCCTGTGACTATGGCCTTTAGACATCCTTCAAACCTGAAACTGAAGCCATCCCTGGGGATCACCTTTCAGCCAAACAACAGACAGGCTACAAAGTGAACAATAACACCGATGAGGAACCCTACTTCTCAGAACAATCAACCATAGAAGACCAAAGGGGCAGCACTTGCCCAAAAACAAAGTTCAGAAGGCAGGAAGGGGCAGGAAAGAATGGCAAATGGAAATAGGGAATCCAGGGAGGAAGTAGATTTTGATTTGTGATACTGATTACAATCCCCACAATGTAGCAGAACTCTTCCCACTTCCTCCTTGTGTTTACTGATTCCATATGTCTTCCTTTCTCATCCCTTCCTGCCTTCTGAGCTTTATCCCTAGGCAAATGATGCCCTTTTGATCTCACAAGGTTGGTTGTTCTAGAGAGTGTGTACCTTCCTGGTGTTATTGTTCACCTTATAGGCCTGTCTATTTTTGGCTGAAAGCTGAGCCACAAGATGCAAAAGACCTCTCTAAAGTGTTAAAAAGCAAAGATGTCACTTTGAGGACTAAGGTGCACCTGACTTGATCCATAGTATTTTCAACCACCTCATATGCATTTGAGAATTTCACAATAAATATGGAAGGCTGCAGAACTGATGCTTTTGAATTATGGTGTTGATGGAGAATACTGAATATACCATGAATTGCCAGAAGAATGAACAAATCTGTCTTGGAAGAAGTACAGTCAGAATGTTCTTAGAAGTAAGGATAGTGAGACTTGGTCTTGCCTATTTTGGACATGTTATCAGGAGGGATCAGTCCCTGGAAAAAGACATCAAGCTTGGTAAAGTAGAGGGTCAGCAAAAAAGAGGAAGACCTTCAAATGAGATGGATTCTGAGGACGGCTCAGGATGGGGCAGTGTCTCATTCTGTTGTACATGGGGTCTCTATGAGTTGGAACCATCTCAACGGCACCTAACAACAATGGGTATAACCAGTTAACATGTTTTGCTGCTAAGTGAAAAGCTAGAGGTTTGAGTATACCCAGAGGCACCTCAGAAGAAAGTCTGGTGATCTACTTCTGAAAGATCACAGCCTAGAGAAACCCTATGGAAAAATATCACAGCATATCAAAACCCTATGGAGAGCAGTCTACTCTGCCCTCAGTTAGAATCAATGTGCCAGCAACTGGTTTGCTGGTGGTTAATAGCCAGTAACAGGAATGGCACAGTCCTGCTCTCACTGTACTGCCCAAGGCACCTGGAGTCTTAAACCCAGATCAAGGTCCAGCATGAAGAGAAGATAGTGACCAATTGGCCCAAGTCTGGGGTCACAGTAGGGAGGAAGAAACCTGGAGACTATGTCCTGTGAAGGCTGCCTGAAGGAAGTAGATAAGTTTACCTAAGAAGAGTAGACTCAAGGACCCCCACTACTGTCTTCCCATCTCTTCAGGGCTGGCCTAAAGTCAGGAGGAGTGAGTAACTTTATAATGCCCAAAGCAAGAGTCAGCACCAAAGCAGAGATTCACAGAAGGAAAGTGTAAACTCACTGTAAGAAAGAGCTTGCTGTTAGTTACTAAGCCCCCTTAGAAATAAGCTGCCTGAGGAGGAAGGAAGCTCCCCATCACTGGGTGCAAGCAGAGGAAAAGTCATCTAATTATAGGTGAGTGGGACTAGGTTACTTTTTTTTAGTTCTAGAGTTGGCCACTGTTGGGATATTCTGAGTGAGAGAATCACAGCATATTTGAAAATCTCTAGCTGGATCCAACAGGTAGTCCAATGGAGTGTAGACAAAAGGCCTCTAGGGTCTTATGTGTGGGCCTAGTCCTGCCCCAGAGGGGCCAGGTACCCTTCAAGCAACTACCCACACTTTAGTTCCTTAACTGGTATACCAGGTGTGCTAAGGTTATTGATCCCATAAACTCCAAGAGTCAGCCACAAGTGCAGAGCAGCTCTGTTTAATTCCATATGTCATACATATATTATTAATCTTCTGAGTGGACTAAGACAGCCTTACCCATGCATTCCCTTTCCTAGGGCACTAGGCTGGGATCCTATCCATTTACTCAACAATTTTCTGACTCAGATGCAGTACCCACCTTCAAGGAGCTCCTTGGTTGGAAAGCCAGACACAAGTGTAATGTGTTAGAACTGTGTTAGAGATAACACAAGGAACTATGGGCACCCAGAGGAGTGATTAAGTTTGACCTAAGGAGGCTAGGGAAGGCTTTTTTGGAGGAAGGGACACCTAAGCAGAACTTTGCAGGATGAACAGGAGTTAGCCAGGGTTATGGGAACACTTGGTGCCTTTATCTGAGACGAAAGCTAGGTTAGGGAAGGCCACTGTATAAATCCTTTCTGATCCTCCTGCTCAGATCATCCGGCCATATGTATGCCTTTTCTTCCAGTGCAATTCCTTCTGACAGCTTCCAGTCTTGGGTCTCATCAGACTGGCTGCTAGCAGCTCAAGGCCCACCTCTATCCAGTGACAAATCAGAAGGAGGGGAAATCTCAAGTCATATGAACAAGAGAAATCAGCCTCCATCGCATACTCCCGGCCAGATCCCACTGCCCGTCGCTGTCCTTTTTCTGGAGCAGATGCTATCTATAGGAAAGTGGGGAGCCCAGCTAGCAGGGGCTGGGGGTGGGGAGAGATGGGGCTTCACAGCTCTTTCTGAGGCTAGTTTCAGGGTCCATGCCCAAGCCCTGCTGCTTCTTCTCCACCTTGAGCCCCCAGGCTAACATTCTCTCCTGCTCTGCCTTCCAGCCTGACAATCTCCTTTCCCTCCTCCTCCTCCTTCTGCTCCTTACCCTTCATACTTCCCAAACCACCTTCACATCCTCCCTCTATCTGGAGCTCCATACTAGTGCTGGGAAGGAGTGTGGAAATTATCAACCCCATTTTAGACCTCAGAAAACTAAAGCCCAGTCTGTGTGTCTCAGGTCATACAGAGAGTCAGTGGACAAGCTAAGGAGTAGAACACAGGTCCCACCCCATTTACTCCAAGATCTGAGAAAGGATTCACATTGTTCTTTGTGGCCCAGGACTCCACATCCCTGCCCAGAGGGTACCTGGCCACCTATGGAACTTCAGAACACACAAATACATACATAATCAGGTCCTTATCCAGACAAACACAGATAGAATCCTTTCACACACAGTCCCCACATAAAGTCATTAAATACAGTCATGCCTCTGATTCACACATTTAGAGAATCATATTCCTATAGAGACAGGCACAAGCCCATGGTGCCACACTAAGGGGCCCAGATCCCCTCTAGCCTAGTCCTAGTCTCTCCACATACCCCCCCCCCACCACCACCCAGAAAATCCTGGGGCTCCTGAATCTGCCCCACCATGAAGTATGAATTGAGTTCTAGGTTCAACTTCAGTGTCCCCAGCCCCCAATGGCCTCCATGGAAGGTGGAAGGAAGCCAATCCTTGAGACCTCAGCTTTCAGGCATCCCTCCAGCAGCCTAGCATGTTTGCTAGACCCCAGTAGAGAGTTGGCAAATCCTGTGCCAAGAGAATCAGGATCCAAAAAAGATCCAGACGACCCCAAATATGAGGTATCAGTGTCCCTCAAGCCATACCCCACAGTGTGTGGCCGTTGTCTCCTTGAAGTGGAAGAGCAGGGACCAGAGGATGCAGAAGAGGAAGGCGACAAGTGGACAGCAGACTGTGACCAGGGCCACCAGGGTGAAGCGGAGCCGGACCAGGGTCCCATCCCGGTCCAGAGGCAGTGGGACCTGGTACATCTTGTCAGACCTGGGAATGGAGTGGCGTGCTGTCAGCACCCCAGGATTGGGGCTTGGTGGTGAAGCCAGTTCTTGTGCTCAGTCCTAAACTTGGCTGTACTATGGGGTAGGTAGTATAAGGAAGGGGCCACTGAGTCCCACACAGCTCCTGACCTACATAAGGAAGACCATGAGAATGTCCTCATATTCTCTTGGAATCCCAAGAGAACCAAACCAAAAACCAAACTCACTGCCATCGAGTTGGTCCTTACTCACAGCAACCCCTCCTTGGGTTTCTGAGGCAGTATCACTATGGAAATAGATCGCCCAATCTTCCTTCCGAGGAGTGGGCTAGTGGGTTTGAACCACCAGCCTTCTGGTTAGCAGTCAAATGCCTTATGCACTACGCCACCAGAGCATTCACCTTCAATTTCAGAGGGAAGAGAATGGAAGAAAGGGAAGAAGCTTGAATAAATTAGGAGGCCTCCCCATTACCCCTATGCCTGACTTGACAGGCCTAGAACTGTAAGAGCTGATTTAACTAGTCTCTTATTTCATAAACCAACCCTAAAATCTACCCATGGGCAGAATGGTCCATCTCTTCACCCAGGTCTTTGAACCTTAGCCCCAACTTTTAGGTTTCAGGGCCTCTCATCAGCTCTCAATGCCTCTCCACTGGCCCAAAGCCCTCTTGCACCTTCAGTCCCTTCCAGGCTCTGTGTGCTCTGTGTGTCTGCATCACAGTCCACAACAGCAGGGCTCCATGGAAGATGACAGAACCTCAACTCCCTGTCTGTTACTGCCTGCTGCCTCATGTGTTCTGAGGGTGAAAGGCTTTGCAGAATCAGGCCTAGCATTAGCCTGGGCTTGCTGTTTGCTGGGGAAATTTGCTTGGTCAGCTTCTGGAGGCTTCCCGGTGTCCAGGGCCTGTCCACCAACCTCCCAAGACCAATTGAGGCATCCTAAGGACTGTGATTCCCCCATCAGACAAGGACATCTAAGGTCAGGAACTATAGTAGCTGAGTATACAATAATAACACTAGCCCACCCCCCCTCAGTGACTAGGAGATGAAGTTAAGACCAATAGAGGGGCAGCAACGTGATCCAGTCACACAGCAAATAGAAGAGCCAACACTAGGGTGATGGGGGCCCATGAAAAATCACACAAAATTCTGACCTTTCATGACCCCTCCCTCTCAGGGTCAAAGCCCTGGGCAGAAAGATCAGGTTAAAACTGGTGTGAGGGAGGGAGGAGTACCTATCCATAGGAGGAAGAACTATGAAAAACAAATTCCACATAGATGAGTCAGTGAGCCTTGTGTCCATTGTACAGACAAGAAACCAAGACACAGAAAGGGAAAGGCCATTCCTTCTTCAAAGCCATATGGTGAGCTGGGGGGAAAGCTATCGCTGAACTGGGGCTTTTTGTTGCTAAACAGGGCCTGGCTCCATATACACAAAGAACTTCCTTTCTGGGCTCCAGGACCATGCCAGATCAAGTCTAAACCCTTACTGGCCACACCCCAGCCTGACTCTGTCCTCCAGCCCCACCCTAAGGAAGAGCCCTGATCTCAAGTCAAGCCCGCCTCCTGGCATTCTGGAATAAGCTAGGTGGATATGCTCCTACATTTTCACCCATCTTCCCCTACTCACCCCTCTGGCACATGAGATCAGGAAGTCTGCCTCAATGGTTCAAGCTCCTTTTGGGAGCCAGGGAACTTCCAGGGGAGTTGGAAGTGGCTCTGATGAGGCTCTCAGATAAAATTCCCTGGATCCTCAAATGGACCAAGTCTCTTAAGGCCCTAGAAGAGGAACAACTCCTCCACCCAGGTCAAATCAGACATGGTTGCAGCATCACTCATCCATCTTCCCAATATCCCTTCCTGAGGCTAGTGGGCTCCAAATCCATCCCTTTTAATTGTGTGACCTTGGGCAAGTCACCTAGTCACCTTAGTCTAGACCTGTTTCCACAGCTGTGCAATGTGGGAATTATGTGGTAAAGATTGTTTCTAAGACCCTTCCAACTTGGTCATTCTGGTTCTGCAGATCTCAGGACAGGAGTTTCCTACCAGAAGGGCAGTTGTTCAATCCCTGGACAGCTCTAACTTCTTCACAGGCATTATTTAACTGAAAACTAAGGTAATACTTAGCTGAAAACTGATTTCTTAGGAGATCTACCTCTTCTCCAAAGGTTCGTAAGAGATCTTGTTAAGTCTCTAGCCCACATCTATTGTTGTTTTTGTTGCTGTTATGTGCCGTGGAGTCGGACCTGACTGATAGCGACCCCTCCTTGGGTTTCTGAGGAGGTATCATTGGGAAAGTAGGTTGCCCAACCTTCCTACTGGGTGCCTAACGGCTACTCCGAGCACTTGGGAAGTGCAAATGGTTAATGTGCTCAGCTGCCAACCAAAAGGTTGGCAACTTAAGTCCATTCAGTGGCACCCTGGATGAAAGGCCTGGCAATCTACTTCCGAAAGAAAACCCCCATGGTGGAGTTTTCTGCTGACACAAATGAGGTCACCATTAGTTGGAATCCACTGACAGCAATTGATTACTGAGTACGAGGCACTACACCGGGAGCTCTGGTAGCATAGTGCCTAAGGCACTTGACTGCTAACCAGAAGGCTGGCGGTTCAAATCTACCAGCCACTCCTCGGAAGGAAGATGCCTCGGAAACCCCAGGAGGGGTCGCTGTGACTTCTTGTTATGTACCGTCGAGTCGGACCCGACTCATAGTGACCCCTCCTTGGCAGTATCACTACGTAAGTAGATTGTCCCATCTTCCTTCCAAGGAGTGGCTGGTGGGTTTGAACCGCCAGCCTTCTGGTTAGCAGTCAAATGCCTTAAGCACTATGCTACCAGAGCTCCCAGTTAGGCACTGTAACCTGTATATTTTTGTTTTGCAGATGAGGAAACTGATTCTCAGAGAGGTTAAAGCACTCGCTGAAGGTCACAAGCTAATAAGGAGCTGAGCCGAGATTTGAAACCAGTCTGTGAAGTTCCAAGGGCCCCCACACCTCCATCTCTACACTTAGAAGAAATCCTGATCGGGAGGCCCAAGAGTACAGAAACATTGCAGGGAGAGCTCAATCCCTGCACACAGAGCCGGAGGTGGAGGAGGGGAGGGAAGGAGGCAGCTCCTGGGATACCGCGTGTGCATGAGGGGGCAGGTACCTGGACCTCAACGCTAGGGGCCCGGTTTTACAGAGGCCAAACCGCGTGGCCGAGCTCTCCTTAGTGGGGCTGCCCATAGATTCAAAGCACCCATGCACATACTCACCCAGGAGGCGGAGGCGAGGAGGCGGTGCCAGCGCAGGGCCGGAGACGGGGTGAAGCCCGGGCGGGCGGGGGGAGCCCCAACCCAGCCGCGGGGAGCGGCGGGGACCAGAGCGGGAACGACGAAGGCGGGGCCGGCGCACTTGGGGCGGAACTTGTGGAGGAAGCAGCGCCCCTGTCCCCTCCCCACTAATGGGGGCTCAGACCCCCTGCTCTCTCCTGAATCTGTGTCTTGTCGCCATGCGTCTTCAGCCTTGTTCTACCCCACTAATTCCGACTGAGATGGAGCAGTCGAAAAGGCCCTAGACATATAGGATAACACGTTGGGCTGGCCACCCAGTCACCTTACCTGTCAACTGCGTTCCATCACCTGTTGAAAGAACATAAAATTAATTCAACAAGCCTCAATTGCTTTCATTCCCTGCCCTGGTCTCTCCTGCCACCCTCCATTCTGACCGGCTTACTCAGCCCCGCCCCGCGGAAACAGCCAGTTTCCTCTCAACCTCGGCGCCCCTCCCCAAAGTTTGCTCACCCAAGCAGGTTGGGCGCCTTTAAGCAAAGGTAAAGGCACCTAGCAAGTAGTGAGATCTGGTGAGGCCCACCCACAGGCACCTGGGCCAGAGCTGTTTTTGTCTTTGATCAGGAGAGGGCGCCCTGTTCCACATAGCACAAGGAGTGGATCCTCTCATACTGCCCCCAACCCTGGGTCTCTCCTCATCCTGAGAGGCTTGATCCCCAGAAACTAGCTCCCCGGGTTTCCTTCTCATCCTGATCCTTCTTGACCCATAAAGGAACTTGAGGGGACCTCTGGCTCCCTTTGAAAGACCATCCTACTTCAACAGGGAAAGAGGGTGACGGAGCCAGTAACCCCTCCCACATTACATTAGGGGGTTGTCAGCACCTGGAGGAGATGGACAAGCTCTGAGCTAGACCTATTACCTTCACGTTTTCCCCCAGTTGAGATCTCCATAGTAATAACTAAGACATTCTGACCACCTTCTATGTCTCCAGAACTATTCTACTTTTTATTTATTTCATTTAATCCTCATAAAACCCCTTTGAGATAGATAGTAGTAATATCTTCATTTTACCAAAAGAAAACAGAGAGATAAATTAAGTGCTCACACAATGGTGAATGTCATAGCCAGGATTCAAGTCTAGCATCTTAACCACTATAATTATAATCACCATTTGCCGATGGAGAGACAGAGGCTCCAAGCTGTTGATTAACTTGCCAGAGCTCTTTTTTCAGGCATTGATGCTTGTTCATTCACTCAGCCTAGGCCTGCTCTGTGGCAGACCCTGTGCTAGGCAATGGTGCGGGAAGCGGAAGTTGTCTGATTTGATTCTGAATCCAAGGGGCTCCCAGTTTGGAAAGTTGTTTATTCTAAAAACTATTTAACTTTGGATTCTCTCCCACTCCATACTTCAAGGTTCCAGGGCAAATGGATAATTAGTGAAGTTTTACTAAAAGAACCACATCCAACCAATTTCAAGTAACTAGGCAGGATTTCTGCCTTGGGGCTGCATGTCTAGCTCTAACTCATGGGTGCTGGCTCTTGGCCCTAGTTTCCTAAATACTATAAGCTGATGCTGGGTCCCTTCTCTCTGCCTCTAAAGGATCCCCAGTACCTGAATCCAGCCTTTAATTCTTTGCCGACCTTGGACAATGCACCATATGGCCCTGAGCCTCAGTTTTCTCATCTGTAAATGGTTTTAAGAATATCCACATGACAAGATTGTTGTGAGAATTAAGCGAAGTAATTTAGTGGCATGTCAGGCATATGCAAAGTACGCAAGACATGATATTATCACTAGGCATGTTGGCTACAGCCTGAACGCTACTCATGACAGCCTTTTCTGAATTGTCTGACCCTGTCACTGACCCTCTGAATCTTTTTGAAAGACTATCACCTTGATTTATGTGAAGAAAAGCAGAAGGAAAGAATGTCTTAGTATGTGCCAGGGGCTTTATGTACTCTTTTATTTGATCCTCTAAATATTCTGGTACAGTAACTCTGATGAAATCCATTTTATAGATAAAAATAAATTAAATAAGCATCTACTCTCATCCATATTCTGTAGGTGCTCAGTGTTTCCTGAACTGTCATTTGTCCATTGTCCAAGTAGCTACAGCTATTGTTGAGGCCTTCTAGTGTCTTTTGCCCTTCTGTTTGGTTGGCCTGGTGTTTGGACATACCTTAGAGAGGCCTATGCCTGAAATGGTACCATCATTCTCCAGCTTCAGCAACAATCACTGCTTCATGCTCCCATCCACACATATATACCAAACTCCCCAAGCAGACAACGTTTGTTCACAGGGATGTTCCAAGCCTCTAGTATCATAGTGACAGCATAGAGCTGGGGACAGCAGAAGAGAAGTAAATGTGGGATGTAGATGTCCAGGAAAGCTTCCTACAGAAGATCTCCTCCAATGGGCTCCTTGCTCTCATATCTATCCATTATCCTCCATATTACAGCTACAATGGCTTTTCTTAAAACACAGATCTAACCATGTCCCATCCTGGCTGCAAATTATTCAGTAACTCCTTAGAGCTTTCAGGAAGAGAGAAAATTCCTTAGATTGTTTTTCAACATCCTCATTTCTGGCCATCTTCTTGTTGTTGTTGTTATGTGCCGTGGAGTCAAACCTGACTCATAGCGACCCCTCCTTGGGTTTCCGAGGCAGTATCACTACGGAAGTAGGGTTGCCCAACCTTCCTTCCAAGGAGTGGCTGGTGGGTTTGAACCACCAGCTGTCTGGTTAGCAGGCAAGTGTCTTTAGCCACTATGCTACCAGAGTAGCCATCTTCTTAGCAACCACATATTTTACATTCTAGCTACACTCCTCTCTTCCATGAAGGCTTTGCTCAACTTTATCCTTATCTCTCCCTAGCTGTCAGTTTCTGCCCACCACTCCACTCCACATACAGCATTGGATGGCATTCCATCACATCCTTATTAGTGCTCTGACAACGATGTAGAAAAATAACTTGTTGCCTGTCTATTTCCACCTTCCTGGGAGCTCAATTAGGATGGAATTCTGTTCTGTTTCATTTCTGGCTCTCAGCTTAGCCCAAAGCCTAGCGTACAGTAGGCACTCGTGAAGTATTTTTTGAATTGAGATGGAATTTGAAGGATGGGCATGATTCTAGGTGAGACAAAAAGCATAAAATGTTAGATAAAATCCTGAGTATACCACTAAATTCATTCAATGCAAATGGACTAAATGAATCACCCAGTTAAAAGTCAAAGATATTCAGACAGGATTTTAAAATATCCAACTATAAACTATTTATAAACCTTAACCTTTCTTATCAAGTTATAAGAAAAGAGGAAGGGAATCAACATGCACCAAACATGTGCCCAGTCTCTTGTAAATTCCTTTATCTTTTCTGACGTTCAACTAGGAATTATTGTGTCTATTTAATCAACAAGGAAACTGGGACAAAGAATAGTTAAATTATTTGTGCAAGCTCTAAAAAGTAGCAGATCTAGGACTTGAACCTAGCTCTATTTGACCCCAAATCTACTGCTCTTTCCAATGCACCATATAAGAAACCTACAACAGTTACTCTGGAAGTAAATCGTTCTTACTCTTGCATGTTTCTGTAGTTCTTACATATCTATCTCTTCCATTAGCACCAATCCTTCACAGCTGTCTGGGGTGAGTTCTCAGGGCATGTGTATGAGAGACTGGGGAGCTTCCAGGACACAAGTGGACTTTCCTCAGCTGTCTTTCTTGGCCAGTGCAGAGTGTTGATCTCTGGACATCTCTGGGCTCCTGATGTTCAGGACAGGGCTGGCTTAGCAAGCTTTTGTGAATATGTCCCAAAATGCTCATTTTTTACAGTGGAAGAAAGAAGATGATGACAACTAAAAGGGATCCTATGAGGATTAGGCAGAGTAAGAGTATATGGTCCCTTTGCTGGTCTAATAGTGCCTGGTGGAACCACTGAGACTATGGCCCCTAGCTACCCTGCAGGTCTGGAATTGAAGCCATACCTGTGGTTTCCAGCTAAACAAAGTACAGGCATGTGAATTAAACATTTACCTCAAGTAGACACA